CTTTGGTGTACAAAAAATCTGTAATGATCCGATGAAAATTATAATAAGATGATTAAAAATCAGTTGAAAGTTAAGTAAAGTCTGTTATATATATATATATATATATACATATATATATATATATATAAGCACCCACCAACAACATTCTTGATTGACAAAGTTAGACGTGTGTATTTCAGGAACGTGAAAACGTGCCAACCCTCGTGGTTGGAGGAGGGAAAAAATAATAATAATATTCAAAACACCAACTTTTTAAATTTATATTAATTGATACGGTAGAGATTCATTTGTTTCCTGTGAGCTTTACTCTCGGATTTATTTCTTCACAATAAATAAAAAATTGTTGAAACAGCATACATACATGCCTATCATTGTCCCAACAATTTTGACTTTTCGCAGTTTGAATTTTGACTTTTCATGTAGATTATATAAAGTATGGTGTGGTGTGGATTAAGAAAGCTTTTATAAATCCTTAAACCAAAAGAAGCAGCTAGAAAAGCTAGAAGCTTCGCTGAAGGATAGTACACGCTCATATAGATAGACTAGACTTAGCTTTGAAGAATTTCCTTCATCATTACAAGTATAAAATTGAAAAAATAATGATCAACATGTTGACATGTTTGAAATGGGAGAAGTCGTGTACGGGGAAGAAGGGAGAGAAGGAATGAGCATTGGATTACCACTTGTAATGTGATATTCACATCCTTTTCTATTAGTAAACACATGTGAAGTTGTAAATCAAAATAATTCAAATACAAGAACCACATTATTATAAAAACACATCATCAGAATTAAAAAGTAAAATCCTATTCTTATTTTCGTTTTTGTCATCATGCACTCCAAGTTCGATTCTCTCTTCGTCGTTAATAAAAAAGATTGGAATAGTTTTGTCCGAACGGGCCAAAGGCGATTCGGGTTGTCTGCCAATGATCACCCATCAAAGCCTTGTTTTGAGGATGCTGGCCCATCATTTACGGCTTCTTGTTATTAACGTTGAAATGAAACCCAATCTTCATAGGCCCAACCCAATCTAACCCAAAAGCCCAAAAGTGATTTCCACCTGCGACGCTAACCGGCGTTGTCAAAGGTGTCACCTTTAGCATTTCACTGAATCAACTTCCCATTCTACGACCCGTCTCTCCTCTCCAGTTCTTCCCTGCCCACTGTTTTTGTGGTGAAAGTCCTTAATAATGGAGAAAATGGTAGCTCTGAGATCGCTGTATCGCTCACTCTCCTCCAGATCTTATCGAGTAGCAGTCCTCAACCAGCAGCTGCTATGTCAATCCCAGCCTCACCACAACAACGCTGGCGCTGCTCGAACCCTCTTCAGTTTCTCATCCCCCATGGCCAAGGACCTCTTTTCTGGTACTCCCTCTTATCCATTCGACCTCAATTTATTTTTCCAAATACATACGTTTCTTTTTCTTCATACAAGCAGAAGCGTACTTTTGAAATTCAGATAGTTATGATGTAAAATTGAAATGGGTTATTATTTGAATCTCATTATCAGCACTATAAATGCATATTTGAATCTGTTTGATTTAAAAATATTTGGGTTTTGTGTCATATTGAAGTGGGTGCTTGGCACAATTGGTTTTTTTTATTGTTTAAATCCCATGTTGGCATGTTGCAAATCCGCAGATGATTGCAGGTCCCCTCTTTCAACCGGTTTGGGAAGTAGGCGATTTTATAGTGATGATTTGAGTCACATGCCTCCCATTAAAGACCCTGAGCTGCTCAATGTTTTCAAAGATTTGATGGCTGCAAGTTGGGATAAGCTACCTGATAGTGTTGTCCATGATGCAAAGGCTGCAGTTTCTAAGAATACTGATGACCAGACTGGCAAGGAGTCTGTCACTAATGTTTTCCGTGCAGCCGAAGCTGTTGAGGAGTTCGGTGGGATGATTACAACATTGAAGATGGAACTCGATGACAGCATTGGTTTGAGTGGGGAGGTATTATAATTTGGTTGCTTAGGTAGGGACTTTGCAGTTTCAATCTCATTTCTCTGCAATTCTTTTGATATCATGTTTTACAATTCTCTGTAGAATGTTAAGCCCTTGTCAGATGAGTACGTGAATGCACTAAAGACAATTTACAACCGCTATACTGCCTATTTGGATGCATTTGGGCCTGAGGAGACTTATTTGCGGAAGAAGGTGGAGACAGAGTTGGGAACCAAGCTGATATACTTGAAGATGAGATGCAGTGGCATAGGCTCTGAGTGGGGAAAGGTATTAATATTAACCTTGGACATGCTTACTTTAACATTATAGCTAGATGCGATTCTTCATGGATAATGATAATTTTTCTAATTCATGATATTACCCCATGAGAAAAGCCATAACAAGTCATCAGTGCAGTTCACATTTGGTACTTTTCTTATCTGTATAAGCAGCATTCAATTCAAGCAATATTATCCTCATCATTTGGCCCACTTAGGAGTTAGGAGAAAACAAGATCAAATTTGACCTGTGTGAGGCTATTTATTTGAAGTCTAGTGACCATATTCAGCCCTTGTTTTCTATCTCTCTCGCCACATGTTTTTATTTTTTGTATGTAATTGGGAACTGGAAAGGGGCTGTCAGTATATAGGATGCTTTAGCCTCTCTAGCTTTTCATTTATGCATTCGTGGCACATGGTTTGTTATTATCCTGCAGTGTCCTAATGCACATTGACATTTGGTCTGTGAATGAATGCAAATCTATTTGCTTACTTGCTCATGTGGTCTTGTATCCTGATTGCAGATCACTGTTCTCGGAACTTCTGGACTTTCCGGGTCATATGTTGAGCAAAGAGCTTAGCCTCAGAATTTCAGAGAATGTTGATGTAATTGGAAGCTTTCTGGTTTTAGAATCATGTTTGTTGGATATTTGAAAATAGGCCAATCAGCCTTCTCCTGGAAAACCTCGATGTGTAGGTTCTGCTGCCAGTTAATAAGAGGTGTCTTTCTTGATCAATTAATGGAATAATGTAGCATCTTCTTGCTTTTGTGATAACATATAATGTTGTAAGTTCGGTTCCTTTCTGTAATTTCAGTTTGATATGTTTCATTTGCTTCTGTTGAGTTGACAATACATGGAGCCCTTGTCTACAGTATGCTACAATCATGTTTTGATCAAATGTTAATATCATCTTGATTATATTACTGGGGGGAAATCTAGCAGTCTTTAATCAAATGTTGTAATTAAATGCTTGATTTCCAGCCACAGGCATTCCTTTATGTAAAGGGGTTTTACTGATTCATATAACAAATTATGTCAAATGATTCCTACAACAGAATTGCAACCAATGTTATTGCTTCTCTTTTAAAGTTTGAAATTCGAGACACACTTGAAAATGTTGTCTAATGTTGAAGCCGGACTCAATGAGGGTCCATTTCTTTCTAAGCCCACGTCGTATTTAGCCACTCCATATCTCGAAAACAAGGTGTAACATTTTTTTTTTTTTTAAGTACAAACATAGTTTAAATTACATATGAGGGGTTACTCGCAAGTCACATACACACAACTAAAATGTCATGGGATTCGAACCTGAGACATCTGATATGCAAGTCTAGACCCTTTTCCATGAGATTAGAGCATCTCCAAGGGAGTCTTCAAATTTTAGCCAACTTCTAACTAAAATAGCTAGAAAGCTATTATAGCAAATCACTTAAAATGTGTTTCCTCTAGTAATGTTCTCTATTTTGGCTAACCTGAAATTTTTTATTATTATTTTCTCTCTCTCTTTCTCCCTCTTTCACTTGCAAATCCAATATATTAAATAAAAAAGTAGAAACACAACCCCACCAACCTCCCAAATGTCTTTGTCTCTCTTTTCCTTTTTCTATCTCCTCCTATCCAAATTCTCTCTCCTCCTTGATAGATGTAGAGAGCCAAGTAAGGATTCTGCTGGAGGAGAATTTTTCTTCTTTTTAGCCAAAGTAGCTAGGAATAAGAGGATAGAGAGTCTGTTGGATATGCTCTTAGACCCTGTTGACAAGTGTAATGTTTTCAAAAAGACTATTTTTTTACACAAAGGCGATAGTGTTCAAAAAGACTATTAATGTGTCAACATCATCCTCTTATTTATGTCATATGAAGATTATGGGGACATTTTGGAAAAGGCCAAAGGAGAGAGAAATATTTTTAAAAGAAGCTAAAATGGACAAAAATGCCCTTATTTATTTTTGGATTTCCTAAGAGATCCTTTACGTTTACATGTCTTTGATTTGAAAGTTGAAAGGTCTTTCTATCTTTTTCGTAAAAGTTTTGGCTTTTTCCAAAAGTGAAAGTTTTTGTGTGGCTAAAACCTAAATTTACTAAGATTATGTCGGGCTATTTGCTATCGATATAACGGAATACTAATACGAGATGAAAATTAACGCATATTTACCATTTCTTTGTCCTTTTTGTAGGATGTTGTTAAACGTGCCCTAAAATTAACTGAGTACAACATATGATCTAAGTGCACCCTAATATTTAAATCAAAATGTAAAATTAACTAAGTACACTCTATTTAACTACCAAAAATATCCATGGTACACTCTTATCACACAACACAAAACTCATTCCACCTTTCATAGCCTTCAGTTTCTCAGTCCAAGCGATCGATTTAACTGTGAATTTGTAATTATTAGAGTAGGTCTTGCTGGTGTAAATAAAATGAATGGGTGGCTGGTAATGGTGGAGGTACTGACTGCTGAGCTGATTCTGATGAAACGTTGACTGACTACTTGGTGGCATGTGTATATACCTGGAAAAGTTTAGGTAGTTGGGCAATCTTGGGGAGCTGTACAAAAGAAAGATGGTGAAGTTTAGATGGATGGTTTGCAGCACTTTAAACATGGAAGTAGTACAAAGCTGTGCACAGAGTCTTGGCTATTGCAGTTATGCTTTTGGTTGCAATGGAAAATAGTTTCCTCTTTGGGTTATGGAATTAGTTAATTAAATGGTCATCTCTTTTCAATCAATACTTGTTTTGCCAATTTCTGCCTTTTAATTTCCATCTTTAACACGTTTGCTTGGAAATTCTTCCTATTGTGATGTGATAAAACCACATTGTAAATGCATCTGGTTCTGCACCCAAAAAAAAAAATAGTGATCAAGATGTCTGTGAGGATAACATTGTAAATTTGTATCAAATGGAAGAAATTTCGTTCGATTTGAATATGTTTCCAGTTTTGGGTCATTCCTGTTTAGTTTCAAAATCGAGACTTCTTCGAGCCAAATTGAAAGACTTTGGTGCGATAAACAAATAAAATTTGAAAAAGCTTGACTCCATAAATATGAGGAGGAGCTTACATTTGATTAGTATTGAATATGGTGAGTATGGTGTAGTTATAAAAATTACATTTATTTCACGATGCAGTATATCTTTTTTTGGTCATTTTATATTAGGATAAATTAGTAATTCAATAAATAGTTAGTAATAAGACGTACTCAATTAATTTTAGAATTCATTTAATAGCACCTTTTTTATACGTGGCTACGTCATTGTATCAATAAGAAGAAAGAGAGAAATGTAATATTGCAATCATTTTATACCATGTCAGGAAACTCTCTCGTTGAACTTTTTGTGGAATGAGTGTGGAGGTTTGATCAAGTCCAATAACAAAAGAATTGTAGATATGGTAGTTTGATCAAGTCCAAGGATTGTGATGCGTGAGTTGACTTGGTTGTCAAGTTTGAAAGAGATTGAATTTATATGTGGTTTCCATGAACCGGACAATTAAAAAAATTTAGACGGAAGATGACCTGAGTGGAATGGCTTTGTGTGAAAAACCCATTATTAATAAATTACAAATTATTCCAAGCCAAAAAATAAATTAATTAATTAATTAATCATTTTCTTATTTTATTGTTTAAAAGAATAAATCAATAGTACGTAAAAAAATTCATTTTAGCACCATTGACCCACCTCAGTCATCAGCCATATATTTTGAGTTTGATAGTCTGATGTTGATCTGATCTGATGCAATATGCCGACTATAACTATATGTATGTGATTCGATGCTTCACAGAAAATACGTAAAATGATTAATTAGTTTAAAGAGTCTCCTTCAATGCTAGAACCAATAGAACATATGATCAAAGTTAATTGTATATATCAATTGAAAATGTACAGAAATTGTCATTTAACTTTTGTATTTTAAGGTAGACTAGGTAGCATGTTAGCCATGCATCCGAGGCCATGTGTTCGAATCCCCTCTCCTAATATCGCTTGTTTTGTGATTAATTAGTATTAGAAATAGAAGAGTGTATCAGAAGCTGCTGCTGCCACGTCTGCTAAAACTTTTCATCCTCTATAAAATGACATTCTTTGGAAAACAAATTTGCATCTTATTTGTTTGCTTCCCAAGTATAATTAATGATGTCGCATGCCCACAAGCAATTCCTCTTTGCAGTGCTTGTTGGTTTTGCTCTTGCGGCCTTAGTCCATTCCCAGAACCAATCAGGTATGAAATATGAATCACCAACACATAAAGCTAATTAGGCTTCTCTCTATTTAATTATTTTATTACGCGTTGGTCACACTGAAAAATTTCTCCTATGCGCCTCAGGCTTCATTAGCATAGATTGCGGTCTCCCGAATAATTCCGGCTACACTGAAACGACAACAGGCATTAATTACATTTCAGACTCGACCTTCATAGACACCGGTGAAAGCAAGTACTTATCGGCCAATCATGATTTGAACTATTATCAGCCATACTGGTACGTAAGGAGCTTTCCTCAAGGAGTGAGGAACTGCTACAAAATAAACGTCACATATGGCACCAAGTATTTGATCCGAGCTGGTTTTCAGTATGGGAATTATGACGGCGAAAATAAACCACCCGGATTCGAACTGCATCTCGGAGCTAATTTGTGGGATAAACTGAATTTCTCGACGGAGTTTAATCAGACAACCAGAGAGCTCATACATGTCACTCTGCAAGACTACATACATATTTGTTTGGTGAACACAAACAAAGGGGTTCCATTTATATCATCGATCGAACTAAGGCCTTTACTCAATACATCTTATAAACAAGGACCGGGGTTTTTGGCACTTGTCTCGCGGTATGACACTGGTTTGTCTACAACTAATGATACAGGATCCAGCAGGTAAGTTACATCTACGATAAGGCTCACAAATTAATGTTGATTAAGTATATATATTTATATATTGGAGAGGGGGGAATTCGCACTTAAAAAATGAGTGGCGGTGGTTGATAAATGTGTTAATGACGGTGATGATATCATGTTTGATGCTGGTGTTGGGGTTGCCAGTTCTAAGGTGGCGATGATGGTGGTGGGGCGGTGATGATGGCAGCGGGGGCTAGTGGTGGCCATGATAAGGTGGTAGTAGAAGAGGTTGTGGTCCAGGTGATGGTGGTAGAGGCAGTGGTGTTGACGGTCATGATAAGGTGGTTGTGATGTCCATGGAAAGGTGGGGGTAGGCTGGTAGCTATTAGAGGGGGCGGCGATAGTGGTGGAGGTGGGGTGGTGATGGCCATGTCAAGGTGATGTTGTTGGTGATGGTGGTGGTGATATAGTCATGACAAGGTGATGGTGTGCTGAGGTGGTTCATGAATTATTCTTTTTCTCTTAAAACTTTCATTGTCTTCAATTTTAGAAATGACAATTATTTAAAAGGAATTTGAAGTTGGAAATTAGTATCGCCAAACTCCAAGTTTCCACCTGTTTATCTTTGTTTATGAAACAAAACAAGGAAATTGGTGTGTGTGAATTTAAAAATCATGATTCATGACATTTGTTCACTTATATATAGTCTAAAATTAATCTAAGTGAGGGGATTCAAATTTGGGTATAAGGAGAACAAGCTTATTACTCTGACTAATTGGCCTAACCCACATCTTTGTTTTCTTTCAGTCTAAAAGCAATCAAATAAGCGCATTCCTTAAGAAAGAGTTGTCCAATCTTTTTCTTTTTTTTGGGCTGGAATCTCTACATTAATGATTATGTTACTACTAATCACTAGTAGATTCAATATATTTGACTTAATTTTTTAATGAAAAACTGACGAAACATCTGTCCAAATTAATGTAGGTATCCAACCGATATTCATGATCGCATCTGGGAGCCCTATTACGTTTCTGATGAGACAGAGTTCCAATTAAGAACCTCAGCCATCATGAATGAATCTTATCAAAATGTCTTCGAAATACCATATGCTGTGATGAGCACTGCTGTGGCGCCAAAAAATGCAAGTCATGCCTTGGAATTTTACTGGGATTCTCCTGATAACAATTCGGAATATTATATCTACTTTCACTTTGCAGAAATTGAAAAGCTTCGGCCTCCCCAGCATAGAAATCTCTCTATGATTTGGAGCGGTGGATGGTTTCCAAGCCTATTTGTTCTCCCTGATTACTTGAAAGCGGTAACACGTTTCAACACCCGGCCCTTTAGTGGGTCCACAAAACATTCTTTTTCAATCCTCAAGACTGGCAACTCTACCCTTCCACCCATCCTCAATGCCTACGAGATTTACGAGGCTAAAAGGTTCCCAGAATTGGAGACAAACCAAGGAGATAGTGAGTAGCTAGCTAGCTTTTCACTCTCCATTTTTATGATTGATTGATTGATTTTCATTATGGAAAATACTAGAGAGACCAACTTTAAATACCAACTTGTATACATCTCTCTAATAGAGCGTGGAACTCATTGTATTAGTAGGCTCCACCTCTATTAGAGAGATGGTACACAAGTTAGTATCAAAAGTTGGTATCCCTAGCATGACCCATTAAATATAAATGTTAAATAATTTGTTTGCATACGAAAATATCAATTAGTCGAAGCAATCGAAAACATCAAGCTACATTACAAAATCAGTAAGAACTGGCAAGGAGATCCATGCAGCCCCCAAGCTTACAAGTGGGAATGTAACACCCCGACTCCGTTTATTTTCCTATTTTAATTTAATTAAATTTTGGTCACTTTCTTATCCGGGAAGATTTTGGGACCGTGAGTGGTGTGGTTGCGTAGGTGGTACTGAGACGAAACCGTAGACAGGCGGTAGGCCTGAATCGGAGATTTAACGAAGCTTTGGCGATCAAAACTTGTTCGGTGGCAGAACCGTAATTATTTCGAAGTAAGTTTGGGGTAAAATCAGATTTTTCACATTTACCCCTCACTTTCTCTCTCTTCCTCCCGCGTCTTCTTCTTCTCCTTGCGATTTTTCCTCATTCCCGTCACTGTTCACCGGTCGGAAAATTCCTCACAGCCGCCACCTCCGACCACCCCGTCCGACGAGACCGGTCCCGTTCGAACCGTAGCCTCTCCCTCTCTCTTCCCCGGCCAGCACAGCCCCGGAAACCTTCGGGACTCGCCGGAAATTGCAGAAACGTGGCCGGAATTGACTGGAACTTCCAGCCGCTCGATCTCTCTCCTTCAGCCACCATTTTCAACGGGTAAGGTGAGGTGTCTCATCCTTTTTCTGTGTTCTAGCTGGCTGTGGGATAGGTTTTGGTAGATTTGCAGGTTAAATTCGTGAATTTGAAACTTAGGTTTTGGCCGGTTTTCAATTTGAAATTCCGGCCA